CTATTTCTTATTTTATTCTTTATTTACTTATTTTTAGCTGTCTACTTAGTGTACTTTGAGTATTTTCTTCAGAGTATTCTTCTTCAATTTCTTCTTCATGCTCCGGTATGTCTTTCAATCGTATTCCTAATCCATTTCTTTGATGCATCTAATTCTCGCTTAGTAAATCATTAAAAATAAATCTTGTTTCGTTAAATATGATATCTGTTCTGGTTATGACTTTTTTTTCCAGAGGAAAGAGAATTCCAGAGTTTGTAACCATTCGGACAATATCCAATGAAATTTAAGTCATTTAAGTCTTTTAGATTCAAGTTTTCCTGGAACAAGTTCCAGATACTTATAAATATGCAATCAAATATGCAATCGAACACTCCAAGTTTTCCGAAACCGGGAAATGTTTTCGTTGTATTATAAAGCAGCAGGAATTTTTCTTTCTTTCTAAAGATGATGTGATACTTGAATTTGTTAGAAACAGAAATCTACATTACCTCCATCCAAAAAATCTTTTCAAATTTTGAGTTTAAGAACATGCATCAAGTCTTTTAGAATTATGCGATTCATCCACTTAGCTACATCATTTTGTTGGGGGGTGTGTCGGAGAGTAAGCTCAAACTATAGCCTTTTCGCTCAAAAAACTATTTGATCTCAGATGATACACTTCTGCTCGTTGTCGTATCTAAAACATTATAATTTATCTTTATGTTGACGTAAGCCATAGCTTACCATAGCTTCAAATGTTTTGAAAAAAACGCAACATTTTCTTTTTGGATCTTTCCTTTTTGTATTAAAACGTAAACACAAAATGTACAATGTAAATAGTCACTAATAAAGGTAAGAACATATCTCACATTTTGATAGGATGTAGAATTTATTCGATAGGATCCGATATAATCGCTATATATCAATTATAATGGACGTGTAGCACACATTTATTTTGAGGCATGTGAGTCTATTTTTTCTTGATGTATATTTCACTTCGAAGTGACTTTGAAAAATTTGTATTTATTGCAACAGTTTGATTTGGAAGTTTTTTCACATCTTCGTAATTTAGATAATTCATTTTTTTGCGTCATAACTCTAGTTCTGTATCATGTTGCATATTCATATTGCATGAATTACTCTCTTAAAATTCAATTCATAGTTCTATATTTTATTTCTATTGCGCGATAATATTTAGTTAGTTAGTTTTGTAATTAATTCTCATCTATTTTCGCTTAGATTAGTCGAAAACCGTTTCATCTTATGTTTTCATACTAATAGAAAATTATATTCAAGGTTGAAAGTACTTCTTTTTCCATAACCAAGATTTCCTTCTAGAATTTATAAGCTGAATTTCATCAATCTTACTAGTTTGTAGAAAACTTCCTGATTTTGCATCCTTATTATTACAAGTGTCTCCAGTTCTCTCATACAACTATTATTCATAATCAGACAAACAGACAGTTCTCTTATACAACTATTATTCATAATCAGACAAATATTTCCATTTATTAATTGCTCAGTAGCACTCGAATTCAAGAACCATTAAATGCTGGTGCTTATATTATTTCCAACTGTCGCTGAAAAACAGTAAATTGTTTATTTTTAATCGTTATCTTGTTTTTACATTCAGAGGCTGCACATACGTTTTCTTTGCAACTTATTCTGAGAGCCTCTTTTGATATTTAGGATATTTGTGTGCAATTTTATCACAGTTGCATTAAAAGAAAAGAATCGTGTGTTGCTTGATTTCTATGTTTTATTGCCTTTCTTCAACTTCTGTCAATATTACGATGCATGAAACTGATATTTGACTGACAATTGAACCAATTTCTCTCTATCCGTCTTTATATCATATTATTTAGCCTTTATCATTTTTTTTTGAATTTGCTTTTAAAAAAATCCTAGTATTAGATTATCCGCAGCTTGAATTTCAATTGCAGTATATTATCATTTTTAGATTGTATCGTAAGTAGAAGATGACATGTTAAATCTATTTTCTCTAGATTATCAATCGCAAATCTCGAGTGCTTTTACCAAATTTAAAAAAATGTGTAGTCAATGTATCCTTTATCTCATTAAATTTCATTGAGTTGGCTATCGATAGGTAAGTCATTTCTCTCAATGAAATTTGATGAGCAATGAAATTTGAATAGCTCTTTTCGTTCATTTCACAAAATGTTGACCACAGATTGAAGGTTTCTTTTATCCTTTCTCTTATCCTTGGTACACTCAAGGTGATTTTTAGATATACATTGAATATATTGAATGATTTATTATTGACTTATTATTTTCGATCCTTGATTTTCTCTAATCTGTAACTCTGTTGTTATCTTGTTCTGTTGTATCTGTATTTTTACCATTTCTATGTATGGTTGTGTTACAAAGCTAAGCAAAGCTATTTCTATTAACAAATTTGGAACTTTTAATTGCTAAAATTTGTTCCGTTAAACAACGAGATTCTATATTTTTTCTATGTTAATTTCTATCATTGTATTCTTGTGAGATTAACTACATGACTTCATTAATGTTATTACACTTGAGAATTCTATTTATACAATCTCAATTTTTGGTAAAAATTTTGAGCCCACTTGTATTGTGAATTTATTGTATTCAAACACAGCCGTAAAGTTATAATATAATAAAATTTTTATTTTGAACAGTATGAATATAAGTCAGGCAGTGAGCAAGCGAGAGAGAGAGAGAGAGAGAGAGAGAGAGAGAGAGGA